TGATATTGCTTGCTCTCTGCGTGGATCAAACGGATTGGTCAATGGTCAACAGCTACTCCGGCACGATCGGGATATACTTCCGTAGTCAGGCGTGGAAGATCGTTCGATTCCATGATTCCATTTCAACCACCTTTTGGCACTCCACGTATCCTTGAGCCCGGCGAGGGGCTTTCAGTTTCCCCAAATGAGATACCGATAAAAATATTTAAGGGCTGGGGCCAGCATCTTTGGAGCTGGAGCTGGAGCAATGCAATTTGACACTATCTATGCTGTCTGGAAACAAAAATTCTATCTCTTAAAGTATTCACTGTTTTCAGGGCTGTGAACCATGGATATGGACGATGTCAACATTTCGCCTAGCAACCACAAAGCCACCTATGATATGCATCACGATGACTACGACCGGGACGAGGCACTTCGCAAAATTCGAACGGCCGGAAGCATATCGATCACCCCTGAGCTCTTCGAGAAGATCTACTTATCACCCGCAAATCGCGTCTCGAACAACTTGAGGTCAACTTTGGGCAATCCAACACCCCTGTAAGTACTCCCTCTGATATTCAGGAATTGGGAGAATAACACAGGGAATCAGCGCCCTCTTGGGATTCTTGTTATCTCTGAGTCCTCTTTGCAATGTTTTGCTTGGTTGGAGGAAGTCCGGTGGCTCGGGAGCTGCAGAAGTGTAGGTCTTCAACCCAATCCCTGTCATCTCTGGTGGCTCCTGGGCTAGACACTGACAGTTCTCTTCGTGACTAAAGGGGTGTCTATTACTTCTTCGGCGGCCTGTTGATGATGATTGGATCCATTCTGGAGTTCATCCTCGGCAACACCTTTCCGTTCGTCGTCTTTGGATCCTTCGGCGCCTTCTGGTTGAGCTGGGCGGCAACATTGACTCCTTACTACAACGCCTCCATCGCATACGACCCTGGGGATCCAACCGCAAGCGCCACGAACCCCACCTTCGCAAGTACCTTCGCCTTCTTCCATCTATACATGGCTGTCCTGGTTTTCATCTATCTCATCTGTTCACTGCGGACAAATATTTGCTTCGTCCTGATCTTTGTCGCGCTTGTTCCTGCGCTCTGTCTTATGGCAGCTAGCTTTTGGAAACTAGCTGAAGGCAACGTAAAGACCGCTGTGACGTGCCAGCATGCCGCTGCTGGCTTGCTCTTCGCTGTGTGCTTACTGGGTTGGTATCTACTCGCTGCTCAGATGTTGGCCAGCGTCGACTTCCCCTTGAATCTTCCGGTGGGAGATCTCAGCAGCGTCATCAAAGGTGCCAGTACCAGAGCCGCTGCTCGACAGCAGAACGCAGAGTCGAAGGAGGACTAGGATTGAAGACTGACTGGGGCGAAGGGCTCCGCGCGACACGAGGCTACTTAGCGCTACCGATGTGTGACAGTGTCGATAAATCCAGTATTTAGTTTCAACTTATGCTTGTACTGCTCAATCTGCTGCGCTTGATGTGGAGTATAACGAGGGAGCACCTCAACCTAGCCCTGAATGAAAACTCACGAAGCGTCCCAGCAGCTCCCCATCCGTTTCAAATCCCTTCTCTGTGGACTTGATCACACTACTGAGTCACTCAGACTTGACATTTCGTTAGATTCGCTCGATATTATGACATGCTCATCCACCGACCTTGACGTGGTGGTCGCTTTGTGCCTTGTGATTCCGACTTACCCACACATTCCGATCTCCCGTGCTAGCCGGAAACTCAAACATCGCCCCTTGGACACCAGGAACTTGGTACACCTGTCGAGAATGATTCACCGTAGGAATGATCCAGCAACACGAGAGAGAGAGAGGGACCAGATAGTCTCATGATCTCCGAATCCTGGACACAAACGTACAGAGACTGATATCGCGTCTCCGTGCCGCCGCGGCCATCGCATCCGTTTCGACGACGTAGGGCGTGATGAGAACGGTATGACATATGCCTCATGTGATGCCCCAAAGTTATATATAGATCCTGTATATTGAAATTGATCGTACTCACGTTAAGGTCTGCTTCATCACTTACGAAAGAACGAAAGTCCTAACAACAAAGAAACAACCCAAACAAAGTCTTGAGCAAACATGAAGTTTCGAAGCGGCATTAGGTTCTCCCATCGAGACACCGCAGGCGACCCGCGCTCCTCTTTCACCATACTACGCTTTCTCTTATTCGGCGCCAACTTCATTAAGTGGTCCAGCGCCTGCATCGTCATGGCCATCGCCTCGTACTTCATCCACGACTACACGAGGGGAGAGCACACGACGTACCAGGAAGTTATCGCCTGCACCAGCATTGGGTTCTTCCTGCCCACCATGCCCTTGGCTTTCCACCGGCGCCTCACCATCCACCTGATCCCGCTGGACTACATCTACTCGCACCTATGGGTGACGGCCTTTATCTTTGCGGCCGAAGACTACAACTGGAAGGATTGTCACAGGAACTCGCCACCGGGCCTCCGCAAATGTACTCTGAAGTACGCTCTCGAGTCTTGGTGTATCATTGCTGTGTACGTGTACTATGCATACTTTTCCGTTGGATTTCACAAAGGTGAAAATGCTGATGTGTTATGATAGCTCCTTTTGCGTGTTCGCTACCATTTTGCAAGTATTGATCCACAGGCAGGAACGTGGATTCTTCAATACACCGCTCTTGGAGAAGCGTCATGAGTCTCCGCCGGGGATGACGAACGGTGCCGAGGAGACCAGTAACACAGCCACGGCGGCTGCCGGCCAAGTGTGAGCTGAGAAGTAACGGTTAACAACAGGCGGTATGGCGGATGTCCTGCTGTGCATGACGAATCGATAGGAGTGGCACTGATGAACTGCCACTAGCCCTCACACTCTTTGGAAACTTGGGACTAATACTTGTCAGTATGGAAAGGGTCAGGTTGCTGATGTCTTTGCGATTTTCCTTGCCCCAATACCCCCTAGAACACCTCTGAATGGATGGAAGCAGTAATGTGCCCGCAGCGGTCTGGCTATTTGAGGTTGAGCCTGGTTGACCAATCGCATTTGGTGGGAGGTAAATACCTAGGTAATATTAATGACGAAACGGTTTTTTTGTATTCGCCAGTGGCTCCACATCTCTCTTACCTGTCTCTCCACTCGCTGCAGTGTGTGCAGCAAGCAAACATAAGATCTGCGCCAGGCTCAACCTTCTCGCGGGATCTGCAATGGTGGTGAATTTTCCCCGCTGTTCCATTGTAGAAATGTCAACAAGGACGCGGCGGAACGGGCGGAGACGAACAAACGCAGCGGTGGCCGGCACTGAATACACCGAATGCGGGCGGCACCTCGTGAGGAAGAATAATTAGGAGCTGGAATCATAACAGCCTATTGGCAGTGCCCGCCTAGGATGACCTAGGTATAATAGCTACTAGTGTGAAGATACCTGCTAGGTAGTATAATTACGGACGCCGACTCCTGCTGGGTGCTAACATCCGGCCCGGGGTCCGTTAGCAGCAGGCACCATATATCGCATGCCTATTATCCACATATGATACTCGGTATGTGTGTACGAGGCACTGATGAGCATATTCTGGGGAGCGGAGCATCCAATGCCAGGATAGCTAGCTAGCTGGTATCCATTCTGTGTGCAGGACATTCGGCCCCGATTCTACAGAAGCGGTAGGGGGTACGCAACATAGGTATGTACTTCGCTGGCCAGGTATTTCTGTTTCATACACACACACGTAGGTCATTTGGAGCTACAGTGGGCAATATCCATTTTCGACGAGAGCCCTTGATTATCACTATCATTATTCTTCTTCTTGAGCCACTACTTTGCAGAAATGGAAAGAATGGACTGTTTCCATGTCATAATGGCCACTGTTCGACTGGAAGGAATACGAATCGTAATCGTAATTCTATTACCGCGAGCTGGGAGTATCCAAAATTATGACTAGAACAGATAAACGAAAACAATACGCGCTGGTCACGCCATCTTGCACATCCCAGATCATTCAGCCACGCAAACTCCGCTGAACGGGATATCGCTGTAGGCAGATTGTAGATTACAACACAGAAATAATATTACTGGAGCCGTCCCAACACAGTGTCTGTCTCCACGAACGGAGGGTGCTTCCATTCGTGAAGATTGCAGACCGCCACATTCTGTCATTACTTCATAGCACTTCGTTACCGTACAAAACAATCTTGTCAAGTAACATTGGAATAGATCGCTCAAATATGTTTTTGTCACCTTATTTACGCACCGCCTTCCCCTCGCCGCCTAGGGGGCCGAAGTAATGCTGTTATTGTTGAGGGCTTAGATCGCGTCTCCAATTCAGGCGGCTTTCTTCGAGGGGTGGATTCACTCGCCAGTGCCGTGGTTCCTATCGACCTAGTCTCCAGCTTCTTAGAGGCCCTCCTCGGGCCTTTTCATCTATCTTCGGCTAGGATGGGGTCTTAAGTGTCGGATTAGGAGCTTTCGGGGGAGGGAGACGGGGAGGAGCAACTTGAGGCTTAGAGGCCGCTTAAGGCTTTAATAGAGCTTTTAGTTTCTGGGCATGGTCTGATGCCGTCGTAGTCTTAGGCTTGTTTCCAGCTAGTAGAGGAGGGTTGAGCCTTTTCGATGATCCCCCCAGGCCGGTATCGACGGCATAGAGGGCAATGAGGACATTTTCGGCATGCTCGGCATCGACGGCATTGAGGGCATACTCGGGACGTAACTTATTAGGTCCTTAACCTATTGCTGGTAATCCTCTTACCCGCGACCTCCGTCATCGCGCCGCATCTCCTCCAGTTCCTCCTAGCCGGGAGCCTCAGTCTACTACGCCTACAACACCATCTTCTCCAGCGCCTTCTTCTGACTCGACGTGGCCTCCTAGTTCGGAAAGTCGCCAACAATACTCCTAACGCCGTAACTTGCCATCTGGCCTAAATCCCAGAACGGACCCCTAATGGCCCCGTACGCGGAGCCGATACCACCCCAGCAAAGCGCCGGCCGACGATACTACCCCGCCGACCAGCGCGCCGGTTAATTTCCCCAGAGTCACACCGGGTTAGACGCCGAGGCCCGCACCGGCTATAAGGCCCCGAAAAGCGCCTAACCGGCTATACTTAGCGGCCTTACCGAAGGACTCGGCCTCGATCTCCTTATTGATGGCCGTGGCCAGGATTTCTTCGCGGGCGTTGGGGTCGGCGGCGCCGTACGCTACTTGACGGACTTCGTACGCTTTCTTCGCGACTTCGAGGGCGAGCTGGGCACTTACAGACGAGCTTTTCTTCATGTCACGCTCGGGGATGGCTAGTGTGCTGGTGGGAGTGGAAATGGGAGATGCATTGTGGGCTTGTATTGGAGTAGTCTGTGGCGTCCGTGTTTGCGGCTTCTGCTGCGACGCCTTTAGTGGCAGCTTCTTGGGCGGCATCTCGGCAGATGGATAAATATCTGCTCAAACCTCAGGGCTGTTACCGTCCGTGCATCGAATGTGCATCTTGTGAGGAAGTTATACTGGGCGACGGTTGAGGCAAAGCTGCACCCGTATGTCACTGTGAGCCAGAGTTGCTGGGCAGTGCCACAGCAGTTTGCTGCGTACGACGGGGCCATTGATGAGTTTGCCAAAGTCTTGACGTCAAGGTCGGGAATCTTCATGATCTTCGTGTCGATTGTCACCGTAGTTCAAGGATCAAACCCTCAATACCGAGGCGCGCACCAAAAGTGTCGACCGAGCTAGTTTTTAGCGTTTGGGCCAGTAAACTGATCTAGCCCAATGTAGGGCTAGGTTTTCGTCCCACAGCCAAATAAGTGGCACAGCCAAAAATGCCACCCCACCAAATCAATGATGGCTGGTAGAACAATGGATAGGCTGCATGACCCTTCTGCAGGCGATTGTTCATTCGGTTCTCCATCTCCTGCGAATTGACAAAGGTTGGGGAATTCTAGAGGTTTATGGTGACATGGTGTGTTAAATGTTACACTGACGTGAAAGTGGAGTTCAATTGACGGATTAACAGGCCCTAGGAGGAAGTATTGCAGCCATTCTCCTGGCGCTCCCACCAGTCCATCTTCACTTCTACGAAATATTTTTGCAGTTCCACGAAATGTTGACAACTATCGGGGCAATTATACTGTGGAGACGTATTTCAGTACAAAGGTTTGAGGCACGACCAGCGTGGTTTTTGATACTGTATCGATAAGCCTGATACAATACTAGTATAAATCAGATAGTATTAGTATCATAATGATACTCTTAGCATTTCCGTACGCTAAGACCTAGTCACGTGCACCACAAAAGCGAAAACTTTTCGCCCCCAAAATTCTTTCCTTCTACTAATCACTAACACTACCACCGCCACCACCGCCACTACCGCTACCACCACCATCACTAATCGTACGTGCTCAGTCCCTGATTATCAGATACTTACTAACTTAATTACGTTAGTGTTTATAATGGTATAGTGCGATCTAATCCTCTCCCCCTTTAATAGCGTACGATATTGATAAAGAGTAGGAATAACGATCGATTAGCTATCGTCCGCTGGGATACGGCCTAGGCCGCTACCGCCCTTACTACTACTAATTTAGTATTACAGCGAGTACCGCTTTTACTCGTGGGCGGGTAGGAGTTAGCTCCGTACGCCTATAGTCCTCAAAGCCGTTAGGCCCTAGTAATGCTAGGTCTTAATGTAGCCTTTATCTATAGCTATATTATAGCTAGGTAGCTTAGGTCCTATCGGCCCTCCTACATTAACGCCGTATTGATTTAATTACGTAGCGTACGACTAGTTTGGCACTATAATCAGTATACGAGCCGTCTAACGCCTTTTCTAGAGTGTCGCTAACTTCTAGGACACTTTAGGGGGACCTATACTAATTATAAGTAGCGTAATCATACGTCACGTTATTCATTAGCTATAGATAATAATAATAGGGAGGAGACTATAGAATTATTGTTAGACGATAAGGATAATAATAACCTTTAAATTATCCTAATTAGGGCTTCGGCCTAAAATCTAATTTAACTTTAGGTACGTATAAGATTTCTTTTTATCTCCCTATATGAGTACGAGTATAAGTATAAGTATAAGTATAAGTATATATCGTATATACCTAGTTATCTAGGGTTATCGGCGACACCTACCGTAACTTATGCCTCTATATAGTAGATAGGATAAGTAGTCGAAAGATAAAACTAAATAAGTTAAATCGTACGTTATAATCTTAATTAATATTAATTAAGATTCTACTACGTTTCTAATGTTTTAAATACTCTATATATTTAAGACTTTCTACCCCTAATTATACCCTTTCCTAAGATATCGTATAACGTATACTAGAGAAGACTTATTCTAGTTTATCACTTATAGTTAAGATTGATAAAATATCAATTACTATATACGATAACCTTAACTAACGTCTCCTTTATTCATCTTGTTAGAAGGTCTGAGTGTACGGTCGGAGGAGGTTATTTACTAGATACTAAAAGACTTAAGTTGAGATAACTATCTAGGAGGTAGAAGCGTCCTTATATAGATAATAGGTGGTAATAATAGAAGATAAAAGAAATCCCTTGAATCGCTATTAATAAGCGATCACACCACCTAGTATCGCCACTTATACCACGTGATCTAGTACTAGTATAGACTAGTAGTATCCACTAGTCACGTGATAAAGCGCTAGGCCTAATTAGGCCGTACGCCCAAATAGCGATATTCCATAAGTAGTATCGTATGATAGTTATATACGTCTAAGCCTAACCGAAATGTCCACTCTACTATAGGTTATTATAATTTACCTTTAGTATCTCGCACCGCGTAGTAGGATCCTATAGTATATATATATAGCCGTCTCTTTATATAAGATCCGCGTAATCTATACTCTATATTCCTCTAAACATTCTACTAAGGATTTAGCTATCGGAGGTAATAGCCTATTACTTCTCCTAATACTAAAGGTCTAGTACTTAAAGTTACTTTAGGTGAGTTATTAGTGACTCGCGGCGTTCTCGCCCTAGAGCCTCTTACTCTTCGCTAATTCCTAGTATAACTCCTTATTCTTTAGGTAGTAGAGTGACGATACTATAGATACTCTTTCCTCCTACTTTATGCCTTTAGACTACTAAATGCGTTAGAATACCTATAATGAGGCTATCTCCGACTTATATACTACTAGCGTATAGTTCGTATTCTTCTAATATCCGCTTTTTTAGTAGTTCTACTAGGATATTCTTAGTTAGTAGCTCTTCCGGCCCTATATAGTCTAGCTAACGAGAAAGCCTATCTACTAGATTATCCTTTCTCCGTCACTATTAAATAATAAAGTTATACGCCGCTAATACCTTAGCCTAGCGTATCTATTGTCTATTTAAGACCTTTATCTCTATGAAACTCTTTAGGGCTTTATAGTTAGTAAGGATAATCGTACTAGTTATAGGCGACTTAAGGTAATATCTCTACACTACGAAAGTCTTAACGATTATTAGTATTTCTCTATCACCTATATAGTAGTTCCGTTCTATAGGAATTATTTTCCTCGAAAAGAATACTATCGGTCTCTAGAGCGTACGCCCTATCTATGTCTTATACGCTTAGATTAGTATACCCTTAATTACTCCTCCTAAAGCGTTAACCTTAACTTAATATCGTTAATTAGGCTTATAATATACTAACATTAGCGCGCTTATAAAGTAGTCCTTAAGCGTACAAAACGCTTACGTAGCGGTAGTAGTTTATTCGAAGGAGCCCGACTTCTTCTCTATCACTATTTCTATAAGGAGATTAGTAATTAAAGCTATAACTTTTAAGTACTTATAGACGAAGTCCCGATAAAAGTTAGTAAAGCCTAAAAAGACCTAGACCTTACGGAATAATATAGGGATTAGCTACTTCTTAATAGCGCTTACTCTACTAGGATCTATCGATATACCTATGACTCTAATGTAGTAGCTAAGGAAGTTAACTTTAGAGACTCTAAATATATACTTTAATAGTTTTATTTATAAACGATACTTAATTAGGCGCTTAAGTATAAGTCGTACGTACTTCTTATACTCTTCTTCGCTACCGCTAAATATAAGTATATTATCTATATACGTAACGTAAATATCGTCTAGTAGCCCCTATAGTGCCTTATTAATATACGATTAGAATAATATTAGAGTATTTGTTAACCTAAATAGTATTATTAGGTACTTAAAGTGACTATATCGTATATAAAACGTAGTCTTCTAGCGGTCCTCTTTAGTAATTTAGATTTAATAATATACGTCTCTAAGATTAAGTTTAGTGAAAATCTTTACTCTACTTAAGCGATCTAGAATCTTAGGAATTAAAGATAGAGAGTAATAGTTCTTCTAGGTGACCTTATTTAACGTATAATAGTTAATATAAAGTCGTAGGCTACCGTTAGGTTTCGGTACGAATAGGATAGGCGCTCCTACTAGAGAGTCACTTAGTTAAATCTATCCTCTTACTAAAGCTATCTTAATATACTTATGTAGGACCCGTAACTTATTTATACTTATAGGATAGAGGGGTTCATATAGGATTATCTCGCCCTCCTTAATAGAGATTAAGTATTATATAAAGGTCTCGTCTCTAAACGCCTTAGAGTTAAGCTCTACGAAGGCTCTTACTAAATTCTATAAGTACTAGGGAAGCTCTACTTCTTAAATCTCAATCCTTATAAGCGTTATACTAGCGATTTAAGTACGATCCTTATCTATATCGATAACGGACTTAACTACTAGTATTCATAATTAAGAGATATCTAGATCTATAAGGAGTTCTATAGCTAAGACGTAGGTGACTCGCTTATCTTTTATAAGTCTCTCGCCCCTAGGTCTAAATCTCTATATATTAGTACTTTAGTCTATATTAGGGTTTACCTTTTTAAGCTAAGGGAATCTAAGAATAGCGTTATATTCCATAATATCTATAGCGATATATATATATATATATAATCTACGTACTCCTCATATATCTATCTTATACGTTAAGAAGTAGTGGTTTCTATAGGTTCTAATAGACTATCCTAAGATAGTCTATATATAAACGTTAGTAGTACTTACCTTTACTCTTAACTCTATTATAAGGAGTTATAAGATAAAGTTCGCTTACGCTCCGCTATTAAGTAGTATATATATCTCCCTTAGTCTAACTTCTATCTAGATTTCTATATTCATTATAAGAGCTTAGTAGTACTTTAGCTCTCTATTAGGGTTAGTATCTAGTAAGTCTAGTATAATAGTAGTACTCTTCGCGCTATACTCTAGTTTTTTATTACGTCCTTTACGTCTATATCCTACTTACGAGGCTTTAATCTATACTAATTAGTCTTATACCCCTTTTTACTATAGTTATAGTATTCGCCTATAAAAGATAGAGTATCCCTCTTTAGGATATCCTTCTTTTCTTCGCTTTATTATCC